TAAACAATTTGCTTCTGCTCATATAAGTATCAAAAGTAAGGGCTTCAAGTTCTCTGTTCCACCAGATTTTGTTGTGATTCACACAGTAAGTGCATTGACACTGTCTTATATTTTCGCCAAATTTGCAACCTCCCTCACCCTCATGCACCAACTAACGAAACAATTTGCTATGGGGTAAAAAACATTGAGAGGTAAAAGCTTACAGCTTTCTTAAAGATCTACTTAACTCTTACGGTGTACAAATATTCCTATGTTAAACAAAATACCTGAGATTATGTCACGTTCCTGCATAACGTATTTGGGTCGCAGGTAACGGATAGGTGCTGCCAGTGTTTTCCTTTTGAAACAGGATAACCATCTCCAAAGCGATGAGCTCTTAGTTATGACTGAAATCCCTAGAATGTGTTTCGGAATGTGAGCAATGTGTACTTCACGGAATATAGAGGAACTGAAGACGCATGTCCAAGAGAGTCTATTCTTTTCTTTGTTAAAGGAACACGGATATTGAACATGATTGTAAACCTGAGACTGGGGCAGAAAAGAGAACACAACAGAAGGTAGTAGAAGAGGAGGCAACGGAGACGTTGCCTCCTCTTCTACTACCTTCTGTTGTGATCTCTTTTCTGCCCCAGTCTCAGGTTCACAATCATGTTCAACTTACACCAGCTCGCCTGCACTCTGACTGTTTTTACGGATATTGAGTTTAAGTAAACAGGTTTTGTTTTTGTGGGAATGACGGTATTTTGCCATCTTTATTTTAGTTATGCGGTCCCTGAAACATATTTTAGAATATAACGTCAACAACTTAGTTAGAAAACAAGCTTCCAGTCTAGCGCAATTTTACATTCGTTATGCGTAACTCGGCTTCAAATTTCGGGGAAGGCACGCTACACGTAATACTACCTAGGACGGTGTTTTCTTTTCTTTTTTCAGTTCATTAGGGGGCGGAAATAGCTTTGCTGCCAAAGAACATTTCTGATCAGTCATATCAATTTGTTTTTCTTTGTGCATTTGTAATACGGCCTCGGAAATTACTTCAGCTTTAGTACTGGGACTTTTCAAAATACATGCATTCATGGGATGCGTATACGCTGAACGGCAATCACTTTCTCGTGCTTTTTTATTTATTGGAGCATTGTAGTAACCGTAACTGATTCATAATTATAGTTTAAAGAACCCTTACTGCAGTAGCCTTTGCACGTGACTTAAAGATTATAGTTTCAGTGGAGTTTAATCGTAAACAAAGTGCTTACCTACTTAAAAGGCATTTCCTTCCGTTCAAGTTTTCACTCCTATACCATTGGTGCAGGATATATTCCAGGCTGAAACGACTCCATTTCGCAAAAACTTTTTTTTCTTGCTGCCCTTTTTGCAAGTTTGTGCTCATCGAAAGTTGTTTTGATAATAGTGGAATGCTTCTCGTTCAAACGTTATAACACGAGGATAGCTAGTTTCTAGGAAGCGTTACTTGTGTAATACTCGTTTAGGCAGGCATAAGGTTAAGGATATAAGCGATGGTGAGAAGCCGGCGATTGATTTTAGAGAAATCATATATTTATGCTTTTTAATGTTACCGTATTTACTGGAGTAACTTCCGCACTCTTCGCGGAAAAGGCTTACGTGTCTTATTTTAAAGAACGCTACCATCAGCGAATCACGGCGTTATGAGTATGAAAACGTGCCTGTAAACAGGATATGAACATAAATATGGGGCATGAGAAGCATTATGCCTACTGTAGCAGGGTAGATAGTCTTTTTGATTGCGACATTATCGCTTTCACGCCGTTTGCTCGGCCACCGCTGTCGATCGGGATAATTGTTCACTCGCATTTTCTGCTGTAAATGGACGCGTAAGCAAGTTCCTAAAGGGCGTTTATCTGACACATAAAGTACGTGTGAACGAAATATTTCATTCAAGAGCACGCACTCATACTTGCAGGATAAGATCAGACTCTTGGTTAAAACCTGTTTCGTCATCATTGCATCATCAGAAAACGGAAGATTGTTGATATCGAATGCATTTCATTCTGGATAAAAATATATAATTCATTTTAAATTTTTAATATATAAATTACCAGAGATATCCAAAATTATACCTCAACATCAACCTGGAAGCGAGTCCCATCGCAGCTAGATGTACACCTGTGAAGCATGCACTAGTTATGCAATAGGCTCAAATAGACAGCACGCAAATTGTCAACATTTTTATACCGATCTTATCGAAGCGCCATGCATCACAAACAACATAATATCAGCCCCCCTTTCTTCTTTTTTTTTTTTTTTTTTTTTGCTTTTTTACAGGTTTATTGTTACGATTGTGAAATATTACCATAGCACATTGCTTAGTGAGAAATTGACGCTCCAAGACTGTTTAGTTTTTACATCTTTAAATCATAACTGCTTACACCCGTCATTTCGATGTTATCGGGTTCTTGTTTTTTTTAAATGGAGAATGAGGAATATAAAGGTAAAGCCTTGCATAAGAAGTATAACGGCATCCTTTAGGGAGCACCACTTGCTATCTAAGGACTATCATAAAGGAGGGCGTGTGCGGTATGGGAATAGTAATATTTGCAATTCTATTTCGATCTATCGATCAAACTGACATATGCGAAATCCGTTTGACGCGGAGGACGCTAACTTCAGTCTTGCCTTCCTTGCACGCGATGCCGAGTCTAGAGCAGCAACATCCACATTTTGCACACTTTTGTTTTACGTTTCGCGAGGCGTTTTAAAGTGTTTCTGAGTTCTCTATCCTGCCTCTTCCGTATTCATTTATTTTTTTTTTATTCTGGCGTTGCGTGACTAGCGGAACTCACACCACAGATTCAGCCGTTGCCACAACCCTAGCCGCCTTGAGCGTCGTTAGAGGCCGCCGCGGCACGTGTGAATACTAAGTCAAGCCTCAGTTCAAAATAGATGCTAATAATAAAATTCTGCATTAAAATGAAGGTAAAACCAGTTTCTTGACGGAAGGAGTAAGCGGAGGAAGGGCAAACGCCTATGCCTTCTTCAGAAGTATAAACGTCATGAGCATAAACGTCCCGGATGTAAGCATCGTTGTTCGACTATGTTTTTCGTCGCTAACTACATCAGGTCTAGAATGGTCACCTTGAAAATGGGCTTGTACTCTGTATATAGCGTTTGCATGTGTTTTAGCTTTTGACTGATCTCTGACTTCATGTTAAACCACGGTGAAAAAAGAAGGGTTTCTGAAAGAGGCTAGAAAGGGGGCAGAAATCTCAATTCCTTCTTCGCACGTCTTCCGGCAGGGGCACTGTCGGCTTAGGGCCCCGTGCGAGCGCTGTCCGGCGCCACACGGCCTTGAAAACGGAAAACGTGTATGAGGATGAGGACGGTCTTCCGAGCCCCTGGTCAGGTCGCACGTCTCACGACGTTTTCCAGAAACGCGATGGAACATTCGATACGCTCCCTCAATGGCCGAGTCGGTGCCGTTCAGACACCTCTCTTTTTCCACCGTGGGTTTAACCAAGCGTTAAAATGCCGCCTTCTACCTTGGTACAACCATAATAACGGGTCTGTGCGAAAAAGGAGAAATATATATATAAAAAAAATAACTTGGCGAACCGCAGGGGAAAAAAGCTGCCACTACATCTCTTCTTCAGCGGGCTTGTTTTTTATTACCATGCTCTGTAAGTACATGAGCATCAGACCCATTCAAGCTACCTTGTGAAAGCTTTTTGTCAGGTGCCCTCAGCACAATTTTGCTGAAATAAGCAAGTTCCAGTTCAAGCACGAAGCGAGTGTCCCAAGGAATTTAATCACCTATGTTTAAACATAAAAGGCTTTTTAAGGGAACCCCCAATCCTAAACGTTTGTCCATCTGTACGACAGTCCGTGCATTTCGTGCTAAATTTAGCGAAGAAACTAAATTGTTTTTGTTCATGTGAATTGGTTTGATGTCAAGTGACCTGACGTCACGTGATCTATACGGCGATTAAGGCTGCCAAAAGATGACTTGTTAAGACGCTGAGCGTGCCGGTGACAAAGGTGATGGTGACCTCAACACTCTTCGATTTTATTTGGGGATCCAAGGAACTGTCGTTCGGAAATAGGAGAAGCGCACTACATTCAGACCATGCTATAAGTATGGAAGTTGTGTCTTCTATGAAATAAATGCGCCCGCTTTTTTTGTGCCCGAGTTGTTTTCGTGCATTCACCTTCTCCTTTGGTATTTCTTGTGGTCCTAAATTTTCGTTGTTTGTCTTGCCACCATTTCCGCTTATGTAGATATTTCATATTATAACCTCTTTACATTTTCCACCCTTCCTTTCTGGGGGCCTTTACATGTATTTAAACAAATCATAGTTAAACTTATAAAATAGCCCAAAAAAAGACAAGGACGAGAAGCATACAGACAAGCGCTATGTTTAACTAAGATGACCCAACTAGCGCCCACAACGTGCCCTATTAAACAAATGAGTAAATATTTTTGTACTCAACCTCTCAAAAAAAAAAAAATTATAGAGCAATCGCTATTTGAATATACGTTTATATTTTTGGACAGAAAGAGGTTCCCGAACAAAGCTAGAAAGGGGCAGAAATCTCAATCGTGCTTCGTGCGTTTGAGATTTGTGGTATTTCTTTATTTGAATTGGTAAAGCACATAAACAGGCTCTCACTGTCATAAACAAATAAAGCGACGAGCATAACGAAGATTAAAAAAGAATGATCACCAAACAATATTGTTGTTTGGGGCATTGAGCGGGACGAAAGCGAAAGTTTTATTACTGGCAAGGAGAATTTTTTCTACCATAGTTATTGATAACCCTGCTTTGTTTCGGCATCACCTTATGCTATAACAGTCTCTCCATGTACTCTGCGGGAGGGTAGATTTCACGACAATTTCTCGCATGTATAAAATGATGAATTATGGTTCAGTAACTTGCTTCTAGCGCGCTCAATACAAATACAAAAAGGCTGTCATCTAAGACTTTTTACTGCTTGTTATTACAGCGTTCGTCAGACTCCGAGACGTGATGAAGTACGCCTTCAGACCCCCGGGAAAGGTGCGCCTTGTGCAATGCTGTGCAGAGAGGCAGAGCTATGATTCCATCATCTTGGAGCTTAAAGCCAAGCACGAACTCCGCGTCATGCTAGATCTCACACCGAGCGAAGTGGACAGGTTCATGACCAAGGTAAGCGTTTTACTTATTAAGGCATGCCGCATGGGACGTTGGTCTCGTCTACTGTCTATCTATGATAGCCTGAAGAGTCTCCGGCGATATTTGTTTAAAACATCAACCCTCAAGTCCGATTCTGCAGGTGTCCTCTTTTGCATTTCAGTACTTCTACGGTTTTCACTAAGCATTAAAAACATAAAATAAAACCAAGCTATAAACGCATATATAAGTGTTCCATAACGTCTTCACGAAGGGACGTTGTGCGACTTTACTAAATGAGAATGAGTGCGGAGGCCAGCTGGAGAGTGTTAATCATCATGTATAAATCCCGAAACTAGGGCTGTGAAAAAAAAATTCCAATTTAAAAAAATGAAGTTACGTGAGGCTACTATGTGACGTGGGAACTCTTAGAGTGCAGGAATATCTATGTTCAATTTAACTATACAGCATAACGCAGATGGAATTCACTCACTCAAGCACATTGTACTCACCTCCGTCAATCATACCTATACGTGAAACATTTTCAGCTAAGGCGAAATGCACGAGCCAAATTAAAGTACCGCGACGAACTGAAGATTCTATCCAAAGTGGGCATTTGACCGAATTTGAGTGTTATGGGCCAAGAGGAAATTCTTGTCAGATTGAAGTGTTCAGTCGAATGGGTTATTTCAGCCAAATTGAGCCATCAGCCGAATGAACACCTTAGCAGGATTGGGATGGCACCACATAATCGAGCGTCTCAAACTTAACTCACTTATGTATTTATTTGGCTACTTAGTTCTTGTGCTGTCGTCAATGGCCTTTGGCTTTTACACATATTTACTAAGAAAGATAACGCTGAACACCCATAAAGTTGTCCTGCAGACGCTTGTTTTTACATAAATACCAGAACTCTCTCTCTCTTTCTCTTTGTCTCTCTCTTGCTCTCTCCCCGCTCAAAATGGAAAACAGAAAAAGACGCACTTTGGAGAGCAGACTACAAAACCAGAATTACAGTACGGAAGAAATTTAGGTGATATAAAAAAAAATTTTGCTCTAACCTCTAACCTAGGCTGATTAACAATACAAAGGAATTTATGCTTCTTTGTGTCAGAACAATTAATTAAAAAAAAAAAAAACAATCCTCAAACAAATGAGCTTCAAGGCAATGTAAACAGAGAAACAACGCTATAATAACCCATCTTTATTCTCGCCTACCTATCATAATTCGCACTGGAATATTTTATTAGGACATCACTTCTGGACGGCGTGGTGTCATTAAGAATTAAGAGAACTATGAGAGAGCTATAATCTCTTGGTGACAACTGTTCAGGTTGGGATTGTTCAGTTTCCTGGAAGTATTCAGAAAAAAATTAGGCAACTAATGGATAGCAGAATACATGTATGGTTATATATGGTTTTACATCATTACCAATATTAAGTAATTCGAAGTTTTGAAATATTAACCTCACCTATGGGAGTAAAAAATTATCATTTTATGTGGTCTTATATGTCTAACGTCCAGACCACTGCGCGGGTATGTTTACTGAGACGTGCTCTTCCAGGCTAGTCGTTGAATACACTTACTGTGCTCTGTGCTCTAAACTTTAATAAAATGGCGTTGGTCCTTTGCACACGTCGACCTGTGGTGTGACTAATGTACGTACATATACGTGCACTTGCAAGGTCACGACATTGTAGATTTTGCTGAGAAGAACTGGATGTAACCAACTTTAAATTTCATCTACTCCGTTCGTGAAGAGGAAATGCATTTGCATAACAAGTTAATTTATGTGATATATTCGTTCATGGCAGACAAAAAAGGTAAAAAGCGGGAATCACTAAGCCGAAACGCGGTATGTAGTTTTGTGCATTATTTTTAGCACATTTAGTGTGGTCTACTTACCTTATTATAAATGGAGGGGAGTGTCACGGTAGCACATTTGTTTTATTTTGTTGTCAATTACCCTTACATCAAAAAAGGTACCCAAATAATAGACCTAAAGGCTTACTGAATCAACACACGACGTGATCTATCCTGCGGTTGAACCAGAACAGCAAATTTAATGTGTTATTTCAATACAATGTGAACCTTCAAGGCCTAATAATTTACTTCAAGAATACGAGTGTAATTAAATGCCAACATTTTGTTAAGTGTAGTATAAACGCATTATTTAGCGATCTAGATGTTTTGCTATCATCAAATAAGGGGGAAAAACACCCGCTTTAGTCGAGCACATTGGCGTGCATTAATCCGCAAGCGTAGTTAAACACTCATTAATGCGGCATAGATAGGTATATTGAACTGATTTTGTTGAAAAAAATGGGGGCATTCTCGCTCTTTTAGAATATATTTTTTTTAGGATATTTGCAAAACTAAAAAATGGAAAGATCAAAAACTAGGTCATTTATTTGTTTGATTTTAATCTTAGACGCTACATTAAGAGCAGTGTCAGAAATCGGGGTGCTTTATTTTAGGAAAACCCTCCAAGAAAGAAGATTGATTAATTAAATATAATTTTTGTAAGCTTAACTTTTTAATGCTTTTCCAGTGCGCATTCCGAAGGCGTGCACCACAAAAAGAAAACGTGTGCTTGCTCCTATCTCATCCAGTTTTTTTTGCCGAAGTGTAGTAATGTGAAGACCGTTGAGTTTGTACCATTTTTGCCGGCACCGGGCAAAAATAAAAATAAAGTACAGCGCAAACTTGCATTCTTACTTACACAAATAAATTGCGGTTCACACTTCGTATGTGATAAATGAGAAGCCAGCTGTGCGTGTTGGGCCCCCTATTTCGGAAAATTTGCATGTGGTGCGCAAAGTTTTTTCCGTGCCCTACCAACGCATCGCGCAGAGAGTAAGGCTGAAGAACATAGCAACTTAATACATGGAGGCTCGAAGAGGAGCCAGCATACAGTAGCAAAAGTAGGTGTCCTAACCGTGAAGTTGTTTTGTATATACACACTCTAAAAAAATCGTGTGCGTCTGCTTTCCCTCACAACACTCGGAGAGCCAATCACCGCAACTTACGGAGGCAGATCAGCGAATGAAGATGCCGAAACATATGTTTAGACCAAGAAACGCAGTCTGAGTTGTGACATTAAGCAATGCAAGCGTGATGTTTTGCATTGCTTAATGTCACAACTCAGACCGCGTTTTTTGGTCTAAACATATATTTCGGCATCGTCATTCGCTGAGCTGCCTCCGTAAGTGGCGGTGATTGGCTCTCCGAGTGCTGTGCGGGAAAGCAGACGCACGAGCATTTTTTAGAGTGCAGTACTATCGCGTTGGTATACGGCAACCTTAATTTTTTTCAAAGCGCATGAGTAATAAAGCACAAAGTTGCAAAATAGCTAACCAGGACCGTATATAAATTTAGCCTCCCGAGGCAGCATTTCGAAAAATTTTTAGGTCGTGTAACTTAGTGCCCCAATGTGATTTATGTTGGAATTATAAGAATATCCGTCTGTCCTCCTCGCAATATATGTGTAATAAAGAATATCATTGTAAATATATATATTTATTTTTTCAATAAGGCTTATTGTATTTAATTCGTTTGAAGAACAGCATTTATTATCTTTGTTTCCGTACATTTCGTGTATTTTCTTTTGTATCTATTATGTGAACACGAAGTTCTTTTTGACCTACCCCGCTACCCGGTGTTTCACACTGTCAAAACGGGCAAAAAAAAAGACCTGTCTGTTTTTTCGGTTACTTCTGCTCCTCTAAAAAAAAAACCAGTCTTAGGGTAAACGACGAAATGGTTAAAAAAATCACGTTTCTGCAGATTGACTCAAAAGCTGTGGCATTTTCGGGTATCGAACTCCCGCGTCGTTCTAAAGCCGTTATGTGAAATTTATACAGTGAAATTTAGGGTTGATAATAAAACTATACTTAAGTACTAATTGAAGATTTTACAACATCAATACAACATACATTTTGATGTAAACTAACTGTACCGTTAATGCAGCCGCCGCAGTTGAAGCAATTTCGAGCTTTCGTGTTCGTTGGTTTCATGTTTCGCTCTGTTTAGTTTCTGATGGTGTTTTTGGTGTTGTGTTGACGTCTTGGCAGCGTCAGGTGTTGCGTGTCTAAGAAGCTTCGGTCCTAACTAGCAGTGTAAATATCTCATGCAGCGTGTGTTTGGGACTGGCATGACAGCTGATGCTTTCAGACGTGACACGCGAGGCGGAGAGACTTCGAGCTCCCGTATGTCATTTGGGCACGCGTCTCAATTAAAATTTTTAAATTTCCGACAAAGGCCAGTCGGACAGCCCTCTGTTTCGCTTGCACGTAAGGAACGTAGTTGCGCACTACCTAATATTGAGAAATTCGGCACGCCTTTTGTCCCTTCATATCGTGCAAGAGCGTCCTCGTATAGTTTCACTCTCGCCTTCTATCTGGCTCTCGACCTGTTTATAACTGGGTTTTCAGAGTTCGTTGTTAAGTTTATGTTTTCTGTTTGATTTGTGTATAACGAGCGGGTTAACTACAAAACAACCGGGATCCTAAAAAAAAAAAAAAGTGTAGTGAATTCAAACATTGTTTTGTTGGTGTTTCGTGATCGGTGCGAATGAACAATAGTTCTTGCGTGATTACACGAGATATACGCATTTTCAATTAATTGCTAATTTTGTTACACGGATTTCAACTACTTTTTTTCATATAAAACACGTGAAATGATTTTTGATAAGCAACGGTGCCGCATTCTGTAATGCTGGGCAGAGCCGGGCAAACATTACGTGCGGCCTCATAGCTAATGTACTGTAAGAAGCTTTTTTTTGTATTTGGCAGCGTTTAAAATGTTATAAAACTTCAGTCAACAGCATATTGTCACGGGTGGTGACTAATAAACAAGAAATAAACAGGAATAAATAAACGTTTACTGTGGCGAACTTGTGCCAAAAATAAAAGGGTACAAAAGAAAGATAACAACAGAGCGTCGCGGGCGTCGAAGGCGGCGAAGCAGCACGATCAAACGCTGAGGCGAGACTGACTCGACAAGGTCGCGGGCGGCCTCTTATCTAGAGTGCGTC